TTTCTGTTCCTGCCACTGACACCTTGTAAATAAACTCCACTAATCTTTTCATACACTGCTTGCTCTTGGGTCCTTTTTCCAACTCCACACGGCTCGCCTCGGCAGCCGTGACAGTACGAACCGGCCACTATGGACCCAGCAGCAGTCAACCCGCCCGAGGAGCTCCGGGAGGACATTATGTACTCAGTGGACAAATTAATTAACCTATGGCTGGAGCATGAGGGGAGAGAATTCCGCCAAAGCATAGCTGTTCGGCTACAGTGCTTACTTTCTGGTCTCCCCTGGTTGCTCAGCTCACTTCACCCGCTCACACAGAATTTTGTTCTGAACGAGCTTCATCTTCTCCCCCTTGCTACCACCCACCCTGCAACTCATGCTTCACTCCCCGACCCGACGGAGAGTGTCCTGCCCGGCCCGTCGGTCCAGCCTTCAAATGGGGATCAGCACTCACGCCGTCGACGCCCCTCGCCACAGTCGGACCCCAGGATATCAGAGCGGCCGACTGAGGTGAGTAGGAAGGATAACAGTTCCAATTCGGACTTTTTCTTCCGGGATTGTTCTGGGTGTGTCAGTGGGAGCTAATTCGCTAAGCCTACCTACCTTCGTGGTAACCGATCTCTCCCAGGTTGGCATTTTTAAGACTTCAGTGAAAGCAAAGGGCTGTTGTTCTTCTGAAACTGTTAAACCCGTGTCAGCCAACCCAGGGTCTGCTAAAACTGTGACATATAACCCAGAGACCATTAACACCAGCTCTGATAATACTAGGACTGTTTATTCATTTGAACCGCGGCCTCAAGCTCAGTTAGCCGCACGGCCTCAAGCTCAGTTAGCCGCACGGCCTCAAGCTCAGTTAGCCGCACGGCCTCAAGCTCAGTTAGCCGCACGGCCTCAAGCTCAGTTAGCCGCACGGCCTCAAGCTCAGTTAGCCGCACGGCCTCAAGCTCAGTCTCTAATTCCACCACCGTTGTCATCACAACCACTATGTCAGTCACCCTCAGTTCAGCCTCCTGTTCAGCAGCCACCAGCCCTGCATCCTGTGTCAGTTGTTCCACCTGTAAAACCATACAAGTCAATTCTACCCGAAAGACACTGCTCCTCGCCCATCCACTCCAAGCAGAGAGACAAATCTAACAATACTGTCAACAGTCCTCAAAAGCTGACCAGTTCTGAGACTGCGACACACTCCAGAGCCTCCCCAGAGGCCGGGGTTCAGCCCCCAGCTGACTCTGGATCCCTGGAGGTCAAGAAGCCAGCTGAGGACTGCACCCAGCTGTCACTGCCTGAGCAGAGTCAACGCTCTGGGCAGCTGAAGTCTGCTATGTGTTTGCCAGGGGCCACTGTGCCTGCTGGTTCTGTTCTGTTTCTGCCAGAGGTCTCCGCACCTGCTGGTCCTGTTCTGTCCCTGCCAGAGGCCCGTGTGCCTGCTGGTCCTGTTCTGTCCCTGCCAGAGGCCCGTGTGCCTGCTGGTTCTGTTGCCTTCCTGCCAGAGGCCCGTGTGCCTGCTGGTTCTGTTGCCTTCCTGCCAGAGGCCCGTGTGCCTGCTGGTTCTGTTGCCTTCCTGCCAGAGGTCTCCGCACCTGCTGGTTCTGTTCTGTGTGTGCCAGGGGCTCCAGTGCCCACTGGTTCTGAGACTGTTTTTGCTGGGGGGCCCGAGGAGCCCGTCCAGCCATCTGCCTCGTCAGCTGGGGGGCCCGAGGAGCCCGTCCAGCCACCAGCTGCAGTCTCATCACCAGCTGCAGTCTCATCACCCTCGCCTGCTGCGGCCTCAGAGTCTTCGGCCTCGCCTGGTCCGGTTTCAGCATCTGCTTTGGCTTCATCCTCGTCGCCTGGTCCAGCATCTGCTTTGGCTTCATCCGGTCCAGCCTCTGCATCCTCATCGTCTTCGTCTGGTCCAGCCTCTGCGTCTTCGTCTGGTCCAGCCTCTGCGTCTTCGTCTGGTCCAGCCTCTGCGTCTTCGTCTGGTCCAGCCTCTGCGTCTTCGTCTGGTCCAGCCTCTGCGTCTTCGTCTGGTCCAGCCTCTGCGTCTTCGTCTGGTCCAGCCTCTGCGTCTTCGTCTGGTCCAGCCTCTGCGTCTTCGTCTGGTCCAGCCTCCGCTTCGCCTGGGGCTGCAGGGGCCACGCAGCCTTCAGGTCCCCTACTACCACCTCCACATCGTCGGTCATCTGCCAGGCCGCTTGTTGGGCATCTCCGCCACCGTGGACGCCCTCCTGAACGCCCTCCTGAACGCCCTCCTGAACGCCGCCACTACCTTCCACGTGGCCGGCCTCCGGACTTGTTTCCACGCCGCTGTTGCTGTCCGCACGGTCAGCCCCCAGAGCTGTTTCCACGCCGCTGTTGCCATCTGCACGGTCAGCCCCCAGAGCTGTTTCCACGCCGCTGTTGCCATCTGCACGGTCGGCCCCCAGAACTGTTTCCACACCACTGCCTACTGTGTGGCCGGCCTCCGGACCTGCCCCACTGCCGCTGCCTTTCACACGGTCGGCCCCCGGAACTGAACTGTTTTGGCCTCCGGGTCGGCCCCCTGACCTTGTCCGTCTGGGCCTTTTCGGACTGTGTCCCTCCGTCCTGGACCCCCACCGCCCGCCCTGGTCGGGTCGTTTTCTGTTTTTTGGTTCGTGGGGGTTTTTTTTTGGTTTTGGTCCGTTTTTGTGTTTCTGTTGGGCTGTCTGGTGCCAGCCCTTGAGGGGGGGGGGGTACTGTCATGGTCCTGAGTCTGAGGACTCAGTGTTTTGTGTTTCCTTATGCTTTTGTTCATTCTGAGTGTGTATTCTGTTGTTATTTTGCCATTTGTTAGGTTTCTGTTCTTTGCCTGCCTGCTCCCACTTCTCTGTGTTCCCTCTGTCTGTCCATGGTGTTTTTGTGTCTGCTCATGAGTCTGCCTGTCAAGTTCAGTGTCCTGTCTGGTTCTCTGTCTGTTAATTTCCTGTTTTATTCTGAAGGTTCATGTCTGATGTGAGTGTGTTCAGTTTACATTTCCCCTGTCCCGTCAGCTCTGATTTCTCCCAGCTGTGTTGCCCTCCTGTCTCTTATCCCCTGATTACTGGTGTGTGTATTTAAGCCCTGTGTGTTCTCCTGCCTGTTGCCGGTTCGTCTGTATTACTCCATGTAAGTCCGCGCTTTTCTGCATTCATCTGTGTCTCTCTGCGTCTCTGTATCCTCCGTCAGTCTGCGTCTCTCTGCCTTTCTCCCCGTGTCCTGTGGATTTCTAGTTGCTCTTTAGTTTTCCCAGTTTAGGTTTCCGTTAGTTTGTCTCATTATTCGTTTTCTGTTCCTGCCACTGAAACCTTGTAAATAAACTCCACTAATCTTTTCATACACTGCTTGCTCTTGGGTCCTTTTTCCAACTCCACACGGCTCGCCTCGGCAGCCGTGACATATTTATTATCCTAATGCATGGACAGATTCTTATATATAATCTCTACTCAAGCACTTTATCTCAGAGAGCAGCCATTTGGCTTTTCTACCTCTAAAACCCGCCTTCCAGCCAAATGGCTGGTAGGCTTTTAGCTAATATCCTTAATCACCTGTGAACAGCTGCTTTTGTTATGTAAATAAGGTGGGGCCATGCTGAGCCACTTGGAGTGGTTAGTTTCCTGAGCTACAAGGAAACTTGTGTTTCAGTTTGCCATCTTAGGGAGAAATCAACACATATGGGTGTATTTCCTTTGTTGCTGAGATTTATTGATAAAAACAGTACAAAAAACCAACCATTTGTACACATATTTACAAATAATAATAAAAAGTGAGTGAGTACACTTCAACATTTTCAGCAATCACTCACAATCCTGGCACTGCCATGGTATCTGTAGTCTGCATTTACCACATGTGTATCTGTAGCAGCGAACACATCGCACAGTGGCATGATTATTCTTGCATTTGTGTTTGACCTGACACATGGCTCTTTTTCCAGGGCTAGGTGTGGAGGGTTGTGTCCAAAGCAACTGTTCTTTTCTTGCCTTCTTCACAGCTTCCCAACACTATCACATAAATAAAGTGTCCCAGGTACTTAAATTTAATAATCGAAATTTTAATCATATATGTAATAATTTAAATATGAATGTAGCAAAAATGTATTTTTACTCAATGATCATCTCTCATATGAACTTCAATAACTTAGTGAAACTTAAAAGAGTGAGTTTAATATATAAAGTCTTACACTCCCTTGCTCCACCACCACTAAAGCAGTTCATTAGGCATAAAGAAAGCTCAGACAGGACCACTCGAGCTACAATCCGAGGAGACTTGTTTATACCCCACAGACGGACAGCATTTGGGCAGAACGTCCTTTCTGTCCAGGGTGGCCATCTGTGGAACAGTCTTCCTCAACCCATTAGAGAATGCTCGACATTCAATTTGTTTAAGGCAAAGGTTAAAAACTGGTTATGGACAAATCAAGTGTGTGATCATTTATGAGTTGCATAGTTTTAATGTTTTATTTGGGAACAGAATGGTGTGTATGTGTAAGTTTGGTGACGGAGTTTTTATTATGAATGAATGATGAATTTTTATGAATTATTATGTCTATTTTTATGCTTAAGGACAACAGATGAAAATTAGCCCTTGGCTATAATCTGGTATGTTTACATTCATGTAATTCTTTTTTTACATTTATGTTCATTAACATGCACTGTCCTAAATAAATGAATAAATAAAATTCAAATGCCAAAATAATTCTATAGACCTATAAACTTTGTACACACCAAAGCTGTTTTCTGCCTTCCGTTCACTATGAACAGGCATGTATTTTCGGTTTATGCATGCCCAACTTTGTGCTGAAATGTTTAAAAGAATGTGAAGTATGAGCACAAGCTCACTATGTGAAAACAGCTGTAGCAGGGAAACCCGGGAGGACTTAGTTATGCTCGGCAGTTTGTTGCAGGCCAATACATGTTGGCAAAACAACATGCAGACATTACTCAAACAGCTGATAAGTGACATGTTTGCTTATGTGCCTCCACCATGTTTGCACAATTCAGCTTTCCAGAATTCTTCAATCCAGTGGAGTTTTTAGCTGCTATACAGAGCAAAGTACAGCACAACATAGTAGGTTTTGTAATAGCCTCTAAATGCCAGGTATTTCAGATGTGAGGGAAAACAGCAGCTGACAGCTATCCACCATGCCTGCAACACACCGGGCTTTTGCTCTCATCTCTCTGCTGTCCTTCAGCGCAGCAGCACCAACAGTAGACGACTGCAATCAGCTGACCCAGCCTCTGCAAGCTAACGAGCTTCACCAGGTACAGGTCCCTTGACCTCTAACCTCAGCTGTCTTTCTCCCTCACAATATGACAATTAGGCCCAGAGTTGTTTTGTCAGTTTTCCCAGCTTTGGCTCTTCACACCTTGCCATGTAGTGGGCTGATTGGGGTGGCGGTAGCTCAGTTGGCAGAGCAGGTCAGCCACTAACCAGAAGGTTGGTGGTTTGATCCCAGGCTGCTCCAGTCTGCAAGATACTGACAGGCAGCATTTTATTCATGATGATATTGTAATGTTATATACATTTGAGACCCGAAAAGTGAGACAATGTAGAAAAGTGGCTGTTATTTCACAACAGCTAATGCAATATCTTTTCCTCTTTTTTAATTTTTGAAGTTCATTAAAAGCAGCTATTGTTTGCAGTTTCATAAGAAAGCAGTTGCAGTGACATACAGAGGTAAAATACCAAAAATTGTATCCATATTCAAACCTTTCTGAACCTAACTGTATGTTCTTTCACTCTGAATAGATCCTGGGTAGGTGGATCTTTATTCAGGGGCTTGCCGGTAACGGTAGCTTGGGCGACACTTTGAGGTTTGTGGAAAGTACATGGATGGTGCTGAATACAACATCAGACAGTCGGACCCTGCAGGCAGAGATAGCTGGCCGAGTGGTTCAACAGCTGGACCAGTCTGTTCAGCCACAGTAAGTATTTTTAAGTATTTTTCCCTGTTCTCTAATCTGGAGGGGGAGGGGGGGGCAGTAAATATTCAGATAGCAGTGGTGATCCTGGCAAAAGCAAATGGCCATAAGTCAAAAACTGCTTGAGGCAGACAACTAGATGATGACACTGTTTCAACGGAAACACGAGACACTGGAGAAGAAAATCCAAACCTACATGGGCTTCTGTTAAAAAAGTGATATATCTCTTATATCAGTGCCAATACCAATACATTTAACTTACCTATATTTGTAATTTACAGAGACTAAAATTACATGTTTTTTGCATATTGAGCTAATTCTTTACATTTTGACGTTAGAGTTCCAAAGATGGAGGATGCCTCCATCCCAACCAATTCCCAGGGACCTGAGCTTTCTTCAAACCCTAGCTCCCACCCTGTCAGCAGTTCCACACCCCATCTGGTCATGAAGTAAGCCATGCTTCTAATATTATTAAGAGAGAATTAAACCCTACCTTCATCACTTACTAGTCAAAGTAAACAACAACCACTTTTTATTTGTGTGCTCTGGTGTGGGATCTAAGGCCAAAGTCTGCTGCACACAGGCAACCACGCTCCAAGCAACTCTCTGCAATGTTGGCTCTGGCCTTTGTCTTTCATTTACATACATCTGTTCCTTTGTAAATCGCTAACCTCTGTTCAGAACTGAATTCCCAGAGTTTTTCATCAATGTCACATTTCTGGAGGGATTTTTTAAGGGTGTTATGAGGCAGGTAGGTGATATGTGTTATACACAGGTGAGTTGTTGTTGTTTGTGCATAGCTTCATCATAGCTACCATAGCCACCACAAGTCAGGAGAAAATTGAGGTAAGACAGCTGTTCTCATAGTAGACACAGGTAGCTGAACAGTAGATTGTTTAATTAAAAACCCACTGTGTGCACAGAGGCAAAACTAAGAAAACTGTGTCTTTGTCCAACCAATCAGAATCAGAATCAGAAAGGGTTTTATTGCCAAATGTTGAGCAGGTTTACAACATTAGGAAATTGCTGCGGTGCTTCAGTGCAAACATACTAGAGATGGACCGATCCGATATTACGTATCGGTATCGGTCCGATACTGACCTAAATTACTGGATCGGATATCGGAGAAAAATAAAAAATGTAATCCGATCCATTAAATATCACAAAAGCACCTCACAAAACTTGCAACACGCCGTAACTCACCTCAGAACGTTAGCACGTCAGAGCAGTGTGCATCACGTGATAGAGCGGCTGTGGCATGCGGGACCTGTCGGTGGTCTGGATAGCATGTGGAGCTTCGCTAGCAACCCGGCATTTCATCTCCGACAAAGTTATCCCGAGAGAAGTAAAGCAAGTGTGTAAGTCCATCTCTGAATGTTTGTAAAGCATTCCTGCGTTAAGCTTAACAAGCGACTGCCTCTTCTTGCTGCTACTTCAATCATGAAACTGCTTAACGATCAGCTGATCGGCTTTTCTGTCGTGAGTCCGTGTCTCTAGTTTGCTTTTGGCCCACTTTGCACCAGAAAGAGGAAACCAGCGGCTGAACAACAGCAGCACGTTTAAGCTTGATAAGCTGTTGTTAGAATGTATTTAATATTACTTTCTACACCAGGATCTTTTTCTATGTAGCTGACGCTGGTAACTGTGCAGGGGCGGATCTAGCAAAGTTTAGCCAGGGGGGCCGATAGGGCATTAACAGGGAAAAGGGGGCACAAAGACATACTTTTCTTTCTTATTCTCATTTAAAATGTCTAGCTTTTAATAAATAATTATCTGACACCCAAAGTTTTAATTTGATGTAAAATGAATAGAAGTCAATTACTGTATATAGTAACTATTAATTAAGTCTAATATATATACCCTAGTAAGCTATAGTACTTTTTCCTTTGGGAAGGTACCATCTGTGCAGTCTGCAATTTTGTTGAAGAAAGATGTTGAATCTATTTAATATTTCTTGAAAAATAATTGATTTCTGTGTATTTTTTTTTCACACTGCATCAAATTAAGGTTGATTACGGCGATTAAGCATCATGAGGTGGAGCGTGAGGGGTGGTTCCCTATTTTTTATTTATTTATTTTTGTTGTTGCTGGGAGTTGGAACCCTATTAGTTAGGTTGCTTAATATTTATGCTAAGTACTCTTTAAAATACCAGAATAGGGAGGATGGTGTAGGTCTAAGTTTATTAGATTGATCAGTATTGCTGAACTATGAAATATTTTTTTTGCATACAGGTATAACAGAATAGCTTTAGTGTAGTTGTTGTTTTAAACTTGAGTATGAACTTATACAAAATGCAGCAAGATATTTAAAAAACAGTTTTGTTGATTAAAAAACACTATATCGGATTCATATCGGTATCGGCAGATATCCAAATTTATGATATCGGTATCGGTATCGGACATAAAAAAGTGGTATCGTGCCATCTCTAAAACATACTGTTATAAATACTGTCATAAATTACGCTTAAATAGACATAAAAATAAAAATAAGAATTAAAAGTGCTACGTAGAAAGATATATGCATGAGTGCAGGTGGTGATCAGTGCCAAACATGGAATGATGCAGTGAACACAGCGTAGGGTCATGTGTTAGTGGTGGGAACAGTCATACGGTTATTGTTCATGTGTCCAACAGCAGAGGGGAAGAAACTGTTCTTATGGCGAGAGGTTCTGGTGCGAATGGACCGGAGCCTCCTGCCTGAGGGGAGTGGGTCAAACAGACTGTGTCCAGGGTGAGAAGGGTCAGCTGAGATCCGAGCTGCACGCCCCAGTGTCCTGGAGGTGTACAGGTGCTGCAGAGATGGGAGTCTGCAGCCAATCACCTTCTCAGCAGAGCGCACAACACGCTGCAGTCTCTGTTTGTCCCTGATGGTGGCTCCAGCGTACCACACGGTGATGGAGGAGGTGAGGATGGACTCGATGATTGCAGTGTAGAACTGCATCATCGTCCGTGTTGGCAGGTTGAATTTCTTCAGCTGCCTCAGGAAGTACATCCTCTGCTGGGCTTTCTTGATGACGGAGGTGATGGTGGGCTCCCACTTCAAGTCCTGGGTGATGGTGGTACCCAGGAAGCGGAATGAGTCCAGGAAGGAGTGGGGCTGTGTGCTTCCTGATGTCGTCCACAATAATCTCCACTGTCTTCTGGGCATTCAGCACCAGGTTGTTGTGGCTGCACCAGGACACCAGACGTTCAACCTCCCTCCTGTAGGCAGACTCATCCCCGTCCGAGATACAGACCTGTTGGCTCTGTATGCAAACTGCAGGGGGTCCAGGAGGGGGGCCGTGAGGGTCTTGAGATAGGAGAGAACCAGGCGCTCAAATGACCTCATGACCACAGATGTCAGAACCACGGGTCTGTAGTAATTTAGTCCAGTGATCCTAGGTTTCTTGGGGACAGGGATTATGGTAGAGGACTTGAAGCAGGCAGGCACATGACATGCCTGCAGTGAGGAGTTGAAAATGCCAGAAAACACTGGGGCCAGCTCGTTTGCACAGTGTCTAAGGGTGGCAGGAGACACACCGTCTGGGCCGGGAGCTTTCCGAGCATTCAGACTCTTAAACTGCTTCCTCACATCTGCTTCATGAATATGAAGAGTTGTGGTGGGAGGAGGTGGTGTGAAATCCTCCTTGGTGTGGGGTTTGGAGGGAGGTGTTGTAGGTGAAGTGTTTGATGGGGGTGATGGCTCTATGGAGGGGGGAGAGGTGGGGGAATGAGTGTCCAAAGTGTCTCTATTGTTGGGGCCGTTGGAGGTGTGAAGGCTGCCTGATGGCTCGTCAAAACGGCAGTAAAAGTCGTTGAGGGTGTTGGCCAAGAGCAAGTCATCAGTGGAGTGGGGGGTTTTAGGCTTGTAGTTGGTGATATTCCTAAAACCTTTCCACACAGAGGCCGAGTCATTCTCTGAGATCTGCTGCTGCATCTTCTCAGAGTGCTGATGTTTGGCAATGTCCACTTCTTTAGTGAACCTGTACTTGGCCTCTCTGTAGCAGTCCCTGTCTCCGCTTCTGAACGCCTTTCTCTTTTCCAACCACAGCTTTTTGAGTTTAGGAGTAAACCAGGGTTTGTCATTGTTATAACTCACCCTGGTGCGTGATGGCACAATGCTGTCCTCACTGAAGTGGATATAGGAGGTGACAGTGTCCGTAAACTCATCCAAGCTGTTAGAAGCAGCCTTCAATCATGGACCTAACTGTAGGGTGAGGAGCTCATTCATCTGAGAGGTGATCAGATTAACTGAGATGTATTGTGCTGTTCTACAAATCATAATGGCGGAGATAATGGTGGAATAGTTTTTGATAGCAAAGCTGTTCTCTGGATATATCCTATTCTCCACCTGTTTCTCAACTCTCACTCAGAGAGCTGCATTTACACTGTTTTATTCTGGCTAGCATGTTACTCCCTACCTCGCGCTGCGTCAACAGGTCTGCTGGTTTTTTAACCTCAAATTTCACATCCTCATTTAACGTTTGATAGTGTTTCAGTAGATAAAGGTGAATGGCTTGGACATTAATTGAGCTGTGGTTTGGGGGAGGCCTCGAAGGGGACTGGTGACGGCTCCCGATGTACAAAATAGAAGAGAAGAAGTTGAAAAGGCGAGGGAGGGTGTGAACTGGGGGAACATATCCGGTCGTTCAGTCTGCTGTAGTTACATCCTAAGGTTTTAAAAACTGAGCTTAAATAAATGATTAGAGGTAATAAAAGCCGAGGGAGGTCAACGGTGATCACTGACTGTTTTAGGAGCTTTTTGAGATTAAATAGAAGAAAATACAAAACATTAAACATGTTAACAACACAAAAGCCATATTAAACGCAGACTACTTTAGGCCCGGAAGTAGGATTCGTCACGTCATCGCTTAACGACCGGACATTGATCAGAACCGGAAGGAGCATGTTTGGAGATGTGGTCCCACTCCTGAAATTCCAATACTTCCAATTTGCTATACTGTTGGCAGAAAGCTGGTTGATACTGAAATGAACTGATTGCAACTTTATATAAAAACTAGTGTGGTTGCATCATGCAATTTTTATATTCTGCAAAATATTAGTTTAATCAGAAAGTGAAACTCTTCAGATTAAGAGTATCTATAGTAAGAGCAGTGGCAGAAGAAACCAGAACTCCCAGTGAACACCCACGTAAGCAAACTCTACACAAAGAGGTCCACTCTGGGGTAACCCAGGAACAGCAACAGCAACGGTGGTCATTACTGAGCCACCATGCCGCCCTCATTTGTGTTGATTAAAAAATGCCACAGATTACTCTGTTTAGAACTCAGTCTTCTATTATTAAAGTCAAATCAGGTTCGAAAGTGTCGGTCAAGGATGCATTCAGATGAGAAAAACGTCATGGTGTGCAAGTCAATATTTCTTTTGGTGTCTCATTATCAATCCAGATGAAATTTTAATGTTGCCATTTTCCACTTCCATTCTGCTTGATCATTGTTTTAGGGAGGATCGCTGCCTCAGGAATGTTCAGAACATGTCCCTAGTTGATGGCAAAGACTTAGAGTTCTACAGTAAGTTGCTTCAGTGAACAACATACAGCATGTACACATGTAATCACATCAGTTACATCTGTCACTCAGGTGTGTGATGTTTGTCACAGTACAATTTGCATGCTCAGTTGATCAGAATTGTTATCCTCCCATCATGAATGCTTGTGTTTTGTTGCACAGTGAAAATTGCCAGTTCCTATCACAGGTTCCTGCAGACCTGCCCTGACTGTCTGCTCATGCACACCTACGATAAAGTAGCCAATCACCAATTGTTCTACTTGTTTGGTAAGTATGAGCAGTGATGGAGCATTTACTAAAAGAACTGACAAGTAAAACAGTAAAATATTTACTTGATGGACTATTCATTGTATATTTTAACTGTAATTAATGAGTTGTAGTCAACTGACAATTCTTTGGCTATTTCAAATAAGGGTGGAAGGGTGGACCACTTTGGCATTCAACTCATCATTTCTTTTAGTATCTCACTTTCCTATTTGTGAAGAAGTAAGAAAAGAATATAAAAATCCCCAAACCAATGAGAAACTAGTTGTAGAGCCCAGTATGGATTTTCGCAAATGGATTTTTCTTCAACAAGTTAACTGATCAAGTGATTAATCATTTTAATATTCATCAACTAGACTATAATTGTCTTCCATCTAAATTGTAGCCATGTCTGAATACAAAGTAGCTTGAATTCAATCAGGGCTGGACTGGGACAAAAAATCGTCCTGGGCATTTTGACTAGAGAACCACAAAGACATAAAACCTTTGAATGAAAACAAATGCTGTTGTGACAGTGATGTACACTGTCTTGTTGGTATATATGTATGATTTCTATACATTTTGCATCAGATGACCACTTTGGTTGTTTTGAGAATAATAGATTGCTAAATATACATTAGAGCTAAAGAGACTGTATTTTAGGGTGGCTTGCAAAATTATAATATGGAGTTTGCTAGTGTGTAAGAATACAAACAGAAAAGGCCTGGAATGTGAACAATGAACTGGGGTGCAGGGCAGGAGAAGAATTAACCCCCACCCCCAGGACAGAAGCAAGAGTTACTGCAAGAGTTACTGAGGGTGAGGGGCAGACAAATAACAAAAGGACACTACCTTAAAAGGAGATGGGGGTCAGGGTGTCAGCACCCCTGGCTACTGTACCAGTGTTTTTCCATTGTGGGGGTGTTTACTATAGGGGGAGGATACCAGAGACTAAAACTGTAGCTGTTGTGTTGAATTCTTGAGATCAGCCTTTAGAATAGGACTGCAAAGGACTGCAGTGTGCTGATCTCCAGATGTATCTGTAAGGAAAAATGGGTAACAAAAGGATTGTGTGAAACTTGGAAACATCTCTGCATGATCTCTACCAACACGAAAGGATCGGAGAGAGCGGCGTTGTCTCCCACAGTTGTAAGATTCAGACATTTTAAATGAGAATAAGAAAGAAAAGTATTTCTTTGTGCCCCCCTCCTCTCCCTGTTAATGCTCTACTTGGCCCCCTGGCAAAACTTTGCTAGACCCGCCCCTGCACAGTTACCAGCTGTCAGCTACATTAAAAAAAAGGATGCTGGTGTTATTGGTCTCTCAGAAACAGTTCATAACTTCCCTTCACTCATGTCACCTATCATGTTTCTCCATCACCTGTTCAGCTCTGATGATCCAGTAAGGACATCTCCTGGTTCCCTCTCACCAGATAACCAACCTGACATCATGACCAGCAGCTTTACGGCTGTGGCTCCAACAAACATCAGCAGATCCTAGAAAGTAATATTAAATCAATTAAATAAATGATTTAATAAATAAATTAAATAAACAACTTATCAGGCTTTAACATGCTGCATGTATGTTTAGCGCAACATCCGCTGGTTTCCTCTTTCTGGCGCAAAGTGGGCGATAAACAAACAAGAGAGACGGGACCTGAGACAGAAAAGCCGATCATTGATCATTGATCAGTTTCATAACTGAAGTAGCAACAGGAGAGGGAGGGGGAGAGAGTGAGAGAAGAAGAAGCTGTGCAGCGGAGGACACAGATTAATCAGAATCAGAATCAGAATGGGTTTATTGCCAGATGTTGAGGTTTACAACATTAGGAAATTGCTGCGGTGCTTCAGTGCAAACAATAAGAATTAAAGTGCTATGTAGAAAGAAAGATATGTGCATGAGATATACATGAGATATATACATGAGAATAAGAATTATGAGTGCTACGTAGAAAGATATATACATGAGTGCAGGTGGTGATCAGTGCCAAACATGAAATGATGCAGTGACACAGCGTAGGGTCATGTGTTAGTGGCGGGGACAGTCATGTGGTTATTGTTCATGTGTCCAACAGCAGAGGGGAAGAAACTGTTCTTATGGCGAGAGGTTCTGGTGCGAATGGACCGGAGCCTCCTGCCTGAGGGGAGCAGGTCAAACAGACTGTGTCCAGGGTGAGAAGGGTCAGCTGAGATCCGGGCTGCCCGCCGCAGTGTCCTGGAGGTGTACAGGTCCTGCAAAGATGGGAGTCTGCAGCCAATCACCAGTTTTGTGTCTGTTTTTTTATTCTAGCTGAAGCACGGGACAAACTGCATTCCTTTTCGCCTCAATACCATTTTCTTCTGTTTGAATGTGATGAGACTGCTTTCAGAGCCGTTGCCCAAACAAGGAGGAGAGTGTATCCGACCTCCTCGGCTGTAATTGTTCCAGCCCAGAGTCGATCATGACCAATTGGCCAATCGACCACCTGTCATTGTTTATACCGTTACAAAAAAACATAAAAACTAAAAGTCACCATCGCCCTTTGTGCCCGATACTCAGTCACAGTACTTCAAAAACACAATTACATTCCATTTCTGGGTTTAAAAAGTTCCCTGTCATTTTTTTTTTTATTTAGCAAAATTCAATTCACTTTTATTTATATAGTGCCAAATTGCAACAATAGTTGTCTCAATGCACTTAAAAAAGAGTGAGAAAAGGACAAACAAAAGGTTGTTTTTACACCTGGCTGTGCAGACTGCCCTCCATGTGCTATACAGACTGAGTACTGGCCAATACATTTAGCTAACATGTCTGACTTCTGTTTGTTGTTATTTCATAAAATTGTTAAACAACACATCTGTGTTAATTGTAGCAGGTTTATATTGTAACAGAGATTGTAACATTTAAGTAACCAGCAGGCTAACTGAAGCTGTCAAATAAGTGCAACATAGAGTAAACTCTTTTAAGTAGTGGAGGTAGTTCTTTAAGGAGGCAGCTGCCCGATCACACGAAACAAACAAAATACGCTTTAGGATTCAAACATCCTCGAACACTAGTGTGAGCACAATACATTCTAATGGTGCTTTTCCTGCTGTTGTTCTCTGCAGCGAGGAACAAGACTGTGACAGCTTCTGATTTAGAGACCTTCAGAAAACAAGGTGAATGCCTCAGGTTTCCCACGACACCCAAGTTTAACTACAACCCTAACAATGGTAAGCACCACATATCGTCTACATTGAAATAGAATATGAAATCAATCTGCTACATAACTTAAATGCAGTAGATTGCCCAGTGAGCAAGTTACTGATAGGTTCGTAGCATAAACCTATTGGCTGGAACGTTCAAGACAATTCTACTACACAGCAAAAGCAAGACACAAGTAGTCAAAGTTCTTTGTGTTACTCATGCATGAGGGAGAGGACTGGACGAGCGCCGTTCCTTCGCTTGACCATAGGTTGCTCTCGTCTGCGCCCTCGTAACACTGCTCTTTTATTGAGGTTACATGAATGAACATATGAGTCTTACATAGGTATACATGTTTACATGTAGACAAAGAGTACCGTGTGTGTGTGTGGTCAAGATGTGACCCCATAAATGAATTCCCTAATCCTGCTGGTCTGGAAGTCCAGCCGTTCATCTAAACAAAAGGCAGTTAGACTAAAACAGATATACTTGTGTTTGCTATACCATGAAACAAAAAAAGAAGGTACGACCTCTTCTCGTGACCCCAGGATGTGAGTGTGTTTGCCAGAACACTCTGGAAGGCACACAGAGTCTTTACAGACTGCTAAGGATCAAACCTCTATCAATATGCAATTGATTATAAAACTCTAAGCATATATGAGTAAATATTTCTAAGCATAAATGACAACCTAATAATATAAACCTGACAGTTACCACACACTGAAAATGGTGTTGTAGAACAGGTTATCCCTGAACTTGTTTTAGCATTTCGGTTCATGAGTACAATAAAGCTTCAGAGGTGCTGGAAGATGGGGGTCTAATCATTTTTTGGCTGAAAGAAATCATCTCATACATCATGGACAATTTCTCAGTTGAGTGTGAGGAAGTAAAACTTAACATAAGGAGGTCTATAAAGAAAAGGCACAATACAATGTAAGCTTTGTTAGATTATTTGGTAGCTGTAACTCAGGAAGTACAGCATGTCATCTAATAGTTGGGAGGGTTTTTTGTTTTTTTTTGCTCTAATCAGTAGCCTATGCAATGTATCCTTGGTGAAGAAACTAAATGCTCTCCAATACATGAGGGATGCATCCAGTGAGGGATATTGTATATAGTGCTTGAGTAGAGATTATATATAAGAATCTGTCCATGCATTAGGATAATAAATAAAATAATTCTAAAGATTTATTGTTGATTTATTGTGATGGGCAGCAAATTCCAGATTCCTCTAACAGTCCAAAGACATGCTGTCATTGGGGTTAGGTTAATTGGTGATTCTAAATCGCCCATAGGTCTAAATGGTTGTCTTTCTCTAAGCGTTAGCCCTGCTTCAGGCTAGTGATCTGTCCAGGGTCTACCCCACCTCTGTGACAGCTGGAATAGGCTCCCTGTGACCCTCATAAGGATAAGCGGAAGTGAATTGATGGATGATTTATTGTTTTGCAGATGAAAATAACATGCTAGCCAGTTAGCACATAGGCTTAAGGTTCAATGGGTTGGTTTAGCTCAGGCAGTAGAGCAGGTTATCTACTTATCAAAAGGATGGTGGCTTGAGCCATGCCTGCTCCAGTCTGCATCCTTGGACAAGGTGATAACTCTCTGATGGATCCGTTGGTGTTATAAAGTAATTATACAGAAAAAACAGAAAGAAAGCAAATGAGACAAGTTCTATAAAGTGCTTTGAGCGCTCAGGTATAGTAGAAAAGCGCTATATACAAAAACATGTACTTGCCAAGCAGTTGTGGTGGTTTCAAGGGAGCAACCAGACAGAGGGACCAACTCCACCACCTTTAATTGTAGCTAATGACAATAGTCTGCACTCCAACAACTCCAACCAGAGTTAGAGTTCACGGCCAGCGAGAATTGGAGATTATGTATCAGAATTTCAGGAGGAGGACCACACCTCCAAACACGCTCCTTCCGGCTGCCATCTATATAGGTTCCCCTAGTTCTGCAATCTGATCATTCTCGTTTACGTGTCCCACCCTCACTCTCTCCTTCTACTCCATTCTTCAACTTCTTCACTCCTATTTAGTACATGGGGATCTGCCAGGCCCGGGAGCCATTGCCAGTCCCCTTCGAGGCCTTCCCCAAACCGCAGCTCAATTCATGTCAAAGCATTCACTACTAAAACGCTGTCCAACTTATAATGAGGACGTGGGCCCAGCTAGTGAAAGACTTACCAAATAAATTGCTTGCACATGAAAAACATAACATCCCAATTATTTGATCTTTCACTTGAAATGTGCACACAAATGCATGTTGATCCTTATACCGACCTCCACTGCAAACACAATGCAAATCTGATAGTTACAGTGAGTCACTGTAACATCCAGTCGGCCCTCTGGTCAGTCACACATCTTGGGAATCATGTTGAAGGACAGGCAGTGAAAAACACAGTGAATGGAGATGGAGCTCTTTGGGTAGCAGAATTAATGGCCGACTAGCTAAGATTTGTTTTACTCCCACATTTCTTAATGCACTTCAGCTTTCTCAAATACCACTCTGGACCCTGCTTGTCCCCAATCCAAGCTAAGATTGCAAAGCTTCTCAAGAAGATTGTCATGCAGTTGCTGGTTGCTGTTGGTTGCAGTTTAGTTGCTGGATGATTTCCATGTTATAGCAGTATCTGGTAATACAAGATGAAAGTTAAAGAAAAAACATATATAAACATGAAGTAAGAAAGACTACAGCAAACTTATCTTTGCATGTTTCACAATGTTAATGACTCCAAAGTTCATCTCATCACAAGAATCTGTGCCATTGTAGTTAAAGTAAGACAGGATGAGAAACAATAGAATTTACAGCCACTGCCATCTATTGTGTAAGAACATGACCCCTTGGAGAGAAAGGTAATCTGTATATTTAGCATTTAATGGAGGGTAAAGGACACTTGGAGGTGGGGAGGACCTAAGGATTTGCATTTGATGTCACTTCTCCAGAACGATCTATTCCTGTTTGTCTGTGAATCTTTATTCCCTTTACAGAACTGTGTCCTGTGGAGGAAAAGAAGTCAGAATCCACACCTCAACAAAACCTCCACTAACAGAGTTCTTAATAACACTGCCACTGCTATTGTCAAACTTACGCTGTTGATTGGTTTTTACTCATGATTTAGTTGAAAGAAATTTGACAAGTTTGAATGTCCAAACTGTTAAGTAATTTTTACTAGTAGTAATCAGCTAAGGCATTTGATCTTTCTGAATGTAGACCTGCACTGAGGACAGACTGTCTGGCTGCTGAGTTTGGTTCTGTTTCTGTTCTGTGGATTTGTTTGCAGTGTTTTGTTTGTCTGTTGAACTGAAATTAAAAGTTTGATTAAAATACTAAACAAAAGTAAGAATGCCTGCTTTTGTAACAGAACAAATAAACAAAATTAGGCAATTATAAGACTTCTCATAAAAAACACTAAATGCAAAAGGGTTTATCAAAACACAAAGCATTCATATTAACCTAGTAAAGCTAAAATATGAGGCTACGGATGATAATAAATTAGGAGCCATTTTGGAGCCAAAAGAGCTGACTCTCTGAAAAGACCTGAACTTCCCATCACTAGTCAGTAAGCCACAAAAACCACATGTCACGTTCGCCACTGACAGAAAATGGCAGTAAACATGTTTTTAAAACTTTAAGCACTTATTTCTTAAATCCAGCTCCACACACGGTGTTACGTCTATGTCAGTTATGTGTAGCATTGCATGTCCCCTTTAACCCAAAGGAGATCCTTAAATATCCTGAATTGTTCCTAATGACAAAAACTGGCAGCTTCCCAAAAAGTGCAATAATATTGTTATATATTAATATTGTTTTGCACTTTAAATGAGTCAGTCTTTTAAAACTACTTCTGCCTAAGATATTCGTATCAAGTATAATTATATTTTGGGGGGTTTAACCCTTTGAAGGCCAGTATGTTTACATAGCTGCACTGTTTTTTAACTGGAAAAAAACCCAATAAACTAAAATATTTTCCATAAAATACATTTCAAGAAAGATTTCACTGCTATTATAATTAGGCCTTTAGATTGGCACCAAGGTTGATTTTGATTCATCATTATTTTTTTGCAGGGGCACAGTAAATGTAATAATCATAACCTATAATGGTATATGATGTTTTTCACTTTTTCCACACTAAATGTTTATTACCTTGCTAACGTAAATAAAAATACAAGCTCAGTTTGAACTAGAAAAACATTTATTTTAGAAAGATAAACATGAACATTTATGTTGTTGGGGATGGGGAGAGAGACAGACAGGGAGAGAGGTAGTAAAGTAAATTGTACGTGTTAGTCCCCATAGGGAAATAGTTCCTTTGCATTTAACCCATTCACCCAGTGAAGCAGTGGGCAGCCACCAGTGCAGCGCCCGGGGAGCAGTGTGTAGGGACGGTACCTTGCTCAGGGGTACCTCAGGGTAGCCGTTCAGTGGAGTCGAACCCTCGACCTTCCAATCATGGGGCCACCACTCTACCTACTGAGCTATCCCTGCCCTAGTATGTGTCTGGGTGTGAGAGTCCTGCTCAGACGGCACAGTCGTTACAAATGGTCACACTGTGGTCCTTGCATGTATACTTCTCACATTTGCAGCAGGCGTTGACAACTCTTCTCCTTTTTTCTTTGCAAAGTTCGCACTGCCTCCTGCTCTTACATTGAATGATGGGAGCGGTCCATGAAGCCGCTGCAGTCAGATTTGTGACTACTGCTGCAGCGGCTGATGAGCGAGGAAGGCGCTCTCTCTTTGCTATGTGTGGGTTCACCAGCATTTCTCCCACTTCTTCAATGAAGACCCTCCGTCTGTGTCCTTTCTGCTTCTGCCAGGATGACTCGATTGATGTCCACAGGACGTAGGCATTGTAAAGTGAAACATCAAGGACGTTGTGGAAGAGGGCCATTGGCCAGTAATTTGTTCTCCTCCTGCAGGAGTAGGTGCCAACAACCTAACAAAAAAAAGAAGCATAAAACATACATATATATTAGACATGAATATGAGCAAGAATGAATAACTATATGCATAACTGGTTCAGGGCTAGCAAAATTTCAAAATCCCCGGTTGCCCTTCGGGCAGGGACTCTTCAGTTTTTGGTAGCCCAAAATAAATTTAAGTAGCCCGAATAAAGAAGAGAGCAATTTTTTGATTGATGTTTTGTTTCCTGTTTAGTTTCCTTTACAATATTATACATTAAAGTATAATATTGTAACGGAAACAAAACATTAAACAAAAAATTGTTGAAACACAAATTACAACATTGTATAAAAATTACAATCATCAACTCAAATACTTGGTTCTAATTGAACAGAAATGTCTATGAACTTGTAAGAACTGTGTAGGACATGAATCAGTCTGTGTCAGATCAGAATTTGAAATTTCCACTGAAGTCACGGGTAAGAGACAAGTGGAACCAAGATCGAGGCCATTTGCTTTTTGAAGCTTGCAAAGACTGCTAAATTGTGCCAGTGGTCGTTCACTCTTTGCAACATAGTAGCTGTTCTATTTGCAATTGGTGTTTGTTCTGGGAAAGATATTGCAGACTGAGCAATAATGCATTTCTTGCATTTCTCATGGGTTCTAATGGGGGCCTTTCTTAAAATGACTGGTTCCAGTAACAAAGGCGCTTGTTGACTCAGAAATCCAGGGAAAACCAACAACACAGCCGGCAGAACATTATGTTATTTACACGGGTGCACATAAGTGGTCTGCAGGTGCCGCATTCGCTGTCAAAATAAAAGACGCACCAGATAAGAAGTTGCAGCGCGCGTTTGCGTCCATATAAAAAGCAGTTTTTGTCTGCTAGAGTGGGATTTTCACGGCACATTCTGCACCACATCTCTGTGCGTTCATCATTTGTTTGAAGCCAGATCACCTCCTGCAACCACTTTTCCGAGAATACGTGCTTCTTTTGTGGTTCGGACTCCTTCTGACATTTCTTTGGAGGTGGAGGAACGCCAAAGCAATTGCTTAAAGGAGCTTCTTCGACATCTTGAAAAGTTCTAAACAAATGTCTGTCCTCCTCCAGAAAATCTTATGTACGCAAACACGCGTTGCAACTTCTTATCTTGTGCGCGTTTTTTATTTTGACAGCGAATGCGCACCTGCGGACCACTTATGTGCAGCCCTGGTTATTTAGCTCATCATATCGCAGCCACAGAAATTCTTTTGTCCATGAAACCATAAAGCTGCACTTTCTTTTTGCCTTATAGTCTGATTTGTCATAACTTTTCCGTTTTGTGGTAAGCTTTTCTTTGGCTGTCACTTCTTCACCCTGACCTGTCTTATTTGGCTCAGCAGAACTAAAATACATATCCTGCTGCATTTACACACGGACTCACATAACGGTCAGCGATTCTCTGCGCCATCAACCTCTTACATGTTTAACCCTTGGAGATCCTTAAAAAAGACATCCACCTTTGCTTTTAATGGACATAAATGTCCATTCCCCAAAAAGTGCTATAAAAACTTTATATATTAATATTTTTTTCCACTTTAAATTAGCCAATCTTTTAAAACTACTTCTTCCTGAAATATTCATATAAAGTTTTAATTATATTTTCGTTGTTTTAAATCCTAGTTTTATTACATGAGCGTCCTGTTTTTTTAGCCCCAAAAAACAAAAAACTAAATATTTTCCAAAAAAAACATTTGAAGTAATATTTGTTTGTTATTATAATTAGGCCTTTAGATGGACCAAAGATTGGCACCAACATTCATTTCGATCCACTTTTATTTTTTTTGCAGGAGCAGATTTAAAAAAAATGCATCCACCTTTATGCCTAAGGACAATTCCCCAAAAAGTGCTATAAAAACTTTATATATTCATATTTTTTTCCACTTTAAATTGGTCAGTCTTTTAAAACCACTTCTCCCTGAAATATTCATATAAAGTTTTAATTACATTTCGCGGATTTTAACCCTTTATATCCCGGTTTCGTCACATGAGCGCACTGCTTTTTTTGCCCCAAAAAACAAAAAACTTGAATATTTTCCAAAAAAAACATTTGAGGTAATATTCAATTGTTATTATAATTAGGCCTTTAGATGGACTAAAGATTGGCACCAACATTCATTTCGATCGCCTCTTTTTTTTTTTTTCAGGACCAGAAAATGGTCCCCAGGCAGGCAATGCTGCTCCTCTAGGCCGAAAGAAGTGCATCTTCCCGGGGTAAGTCGCGACGATCACCAGGGCACGATCACTGGGGACTCCTTTCTACAGCACACACCACGTGACAACAAATACGTCATTTCCTGTTGATTAAAAAAAAATGCACCCTCTCACGGCCCTAGGGACCGAAAATGGTCCCGCCCGATCAGCGGGCGAAGCCGCTGCTGCACGCCGGGAATCAGGCTTCCTTTCCCGCAGGTCTGTCTAAGCAGCCCGCTTGTCATGGTCCTGGGTCGGTGACCCAGCGCTTTTAGTTTGTTATCATTTTCCAGATGATGATTGTTTTAGTTCTGTGTTATATTCGGTCTGCCTCTGAGTCTGCATCTGTATCTGTCTGTCTATGGTGTCACCCCATCTGTTCGTGAAGCTGTCTGTTTAGATCTGTGTCTTGTTTGGTTCCCCGTGTCTGAGTTTCCTGTTTTATTGTGAAGGTCTCTGTCTGATGTGAGTGTGTTCAGTTTACATTTCCCCTGTCCCGTCAGTTCTGATTTCTCCCAGCTGTGTTGCCCTCCTGTCTCTCATCCCCTGATTACTGGTGTGTATTTAAGCCCTGTGTGTTCTCCTGCCTGTTGTCGGCTCGTCTGCGTTCTATGGTGTTCCTGTCTCTGCGTCTCTCTGCCCCGCACCCCTTTTGTATGGTCTCAGGTTTGTCACTTAGTTTCTCCCAGTTTAGGTTTCCGTTTGTAAAGTACTCATACCTCGTTGCCTGTTTTTGTCACCACCACCTTTGTAAATAAAACATCACTCGTATCATCAGTTTGCTGCATCTTGGGTCCTCCTTTTCCTCCACACCACACGGCTCCCTCCGCCAGCCGTGACACCGCTGTTTTCCAGCAGGGGTCAAATGTGAAGCAAGGGCGCCACCCGGTGGACAAATAAGAAAATTACAATTCTAAGGCCCCTAGTTCAAACTAAAACTAAATTTACACCACAATTATAAAATATAATTAAAAAGAAAATTCTTTGACAAATTTGGCTATATTCCACTCAACACAGTGAAAATGGTTTAAAATTAAAAATGCAAAATACCATAAATGTCCCTAAGGACCTCTGAGGGTTTTAAGCTGGGGGAGATTTCACTTGTCATGTTTGCATAGTAAGCTAACGATTAATAAGACGATGTCAGAGGAATTGGTGCGCAAATTATCGTCACTCACCAATCAGTGCTGTCGCTCTCTATACACAGTTCGCACGATTGCAAAGTGAAAGCAAAAAACAAGCGCAAATTCAAATGCGATTTCAATATGTCACATATTGACAGTGGCTCACCGGTGCTAATGACATAATTACCCAGCTACATTTCCGAAAGAATGCAAAAGCACTGACATATATTTTTCCTTCCTCTGACAGCCCGACGGACAGGGCAGAGATAGATTTTGGTACCCTGACTGGAAAAATCGCTAGCCCCGGGACGTCGGGCTAGCGATATCGCAAGCCCTGTGGTTCGTAATGACACCTACCTTATCAAGGTTGTCGACACCTCCTTTGCATTTGTTGTAATCTTCGATTATTACAGGCTTTCTCTTCCCTTCTTTGCTCACGTCTGGGCGGCGGTGTTTTGTGCTTAGTAGCAGCACATTCTTGCCCCGTCGGGGGATGTAAGACACAAGTGTGTGGGTGTTTGTAAAAGCGAAGATGGAGGAGAAGATCTCTCTCTTTTTTGCCTGGAGCAAATGAGGTGGAAGCTCAGGCTTGTTTTGGCGAATTGTGCCAACCAGGGCCATTTTCCTCTTGAGTAGCTCATCTGCCAGTGCACAGGAAGTGAAAAAATTATCACAGGTGACGACGTGTCCCTGGAGCCCCTCTGTCATGTCCAGGACCACCCTCATCCCCTGGTTGACTTCAACACGATCTGGAGCTGCTTTGCCCGTGTACACCTGCAGTCTCCATGCGTAGGATGTTTTGACATCACAGGCTGCCCAAATCTTGATACCATATTTGGCCGGCTTCTTTGGCATGTACTGCCTGAAGCTACACCTGCCTTTGAACGCGACGAGTTGTTCATCCACACAGAGATCTCTGTCTGGGCTGAACAGCATCTCCAGGCGGTGCGTCCACATATTCCAGACTTTGCGGAAGGGAGTCATCTTGTCAACACGGCGTGGGGGGCGGGATAGCTTATCATCGAACCGCAGTGCTCTGCTGATGTGGTGAAACCTCTTCTCGGACATCGTAGCCCGGAAAATGCTCCGTCCCCATTTTTCACTCCAGAGGCTCTTCGTTGATTCGTGTTTTGACCTGTAAACACCGGACAAAACGAGCAGCCCCACATAAGCCCGAAACTCCTCTGCGTCTATATCTCGCCAGCCGGGAATTTTGCGATTCCCATGCAGGTTTGTCATGGACACAATATGCTTCACGATCTCATCCGTTAGAAACAGCGCGAAGCTGGATATGGGGTCAACGATTCGGAGAGTGGCATAGCGTGTAGGTCCCGGGGTCAGACCAGTGGCTGCTGGGATGTAGCGGAACGTCTCAGCGTTTGTGGGAGACCAAGATATTTTTCCATTTTTTGACGTCCATGCTGTTTCATCAATTTTCTCTTCGTTTTCATCTTCATCCGAGTCGGAACTGGACCCCAGCTGCTCTGTTTCTGCCTCTGATACCTCTTCCTCCTCGTCCCCAGATTCCACGGGGGATAACGCGGAGCTATCCTCGTACTCAGAGTTCATGATGACTGACTGTTGTGATATTTTGATACCATGGTAGCATTTACAGGATATTGTTTTATTGTGATATTATACAGGAAAACTGTTACTCAATAAGGCCCATTTACTAGTTGTTTTTCTCTTTCTCTCTGACCCAAGAATTGATGTGTAAGAATCACAGGCTGGTACCCCAAGGTCGAAAATACCACAGAGACGAGACCACTTCCTTACTCCCATCCTCCCTTCCTTATCTTTTAGAAAAGAGCTTGTTAAAAAGCCAGGTGGTTTGTTTCAGAATTCACTAATGAAAGAACTCTGTATTCTATGTCTAGGAGTGTATTTTGCTGGGATGACCATAAATTGTAACTGAAGCTGAACTATACAAAGGATACTTCTCTGCTCACAAGGCAGGAAGACGTTTCCTTATTTGGTCTGTACCGGTTTGAACTGAGAACCTGCTGACACACGAACCTTTTTTTCCTCTATATAAGCTGTTTTGTACTGAATAAACCTTTGAGTTGGTTTGGGAAGGCAACCTGAAGCAGTCTGTGTTTCCTTGTTCTCCCAAGCTACTCCCGGCGCTGTAACTAACCCAGCTGAACGGCATACTTGAGCGTTACTTTGAATAATTAGGAATCTTATAAGGAAAGGACAAAACTCTGCTTATCGGTGCTCACGCCTTGGAGGGAAACCGGGACGGAGATTTTCTCTTCACTGGATATCACGGATATTTAAATAGATTTGCTTATGCGGCCAGGAGATCGTTTCTCTTGCCTTCCCTTTTGCCAGCACGTGCAGGACTAAACCGATTCAAAACTCTATCCGGTTAGTCGTGACGCATGGACCCTGCTTCCGGTCAGTCCAGCTAACGTAAAGCTACAAACATCTCTACTGTTTAGGCTACGTCCACACGTACACGGGTATTTTTGAAAACAGAGATTTTCCGTTTCCGTTTTAAAAAATAATCCCGTCCACACGTAAAGGCAGAAATGAAGGAAAACGCTGCTATGAACATGCCAAACCAACAGGTGGCGATGTAGTCCTAACCGTGTAGAAATGTTGGCCAATCAGAAGTCTAGAAGCCTCGGCGGGAAAAAGTAAACAAAGCTGGGGCATAGAAGCAGAACCGAGTCATATGTGTTAAGGCAGCGTCCCCAACCCCCGGGCCTCGGACCGGTACCGGTCCGTGAGTCGTTTGGTACCGGGCCGCGAGAGTCGAGGCTCAGGTGTGAAATGTATAGTTTTCAGGGTTTTTAATTGGTCTTCAGCGTTATTTTGTTATCATTCTTATCGTTTACTCTGTTTTCCTGGGTCTTTTCACGTGTGTTATGAATAAATCTTCTTTTTTTTGGTACCGGTACTAGTTTTATTTTGTTGTGTTTATCCGCGACACCTTAAAGGCCGGTCCGTGAAAATATTGTCGGACATAAACCGGTCTGTGGCGCAAAAAAGGTTGGAGACCGCTGTGTTAAGGGACAGTAACTGTGTGTGTATATGTGTCTTCAACCTTTCCCTCTCTCGGTCTGTAGTCCCAGCCTGCTTCAAAATGGCCACCATCGTCCCTGTACCCAAATCCTCCACCATCTCCTCATTGAACGACTGGCGACCTGTAGCCCTGACCCCCATCGTAAGCAAATGCTTCGAGAAGCTGGTCAGGGACTTCATCTGCTCTGCACTACCCGACTCACTGGACCCTCTACAGTTTGCATACCGCCACAACAGGTCCACTGATGATGCCATAGCCCTGACACTACATACTGCCCTGTCACACCTGGAGAAGAGAGACACGTAGGCCTATGTGAGAATGCTGTTTGTAGATTACAGCTCAGCATTCAATACCATCGTTCCCTCGAAGCTGGACAGGAAACTGCAGGATCTAGGACTGAGCAGCTCCCTCTGCAGCTGGATCCTTAGCTTCCTGTCTGACAGACGCCAAGTGGTCAGACTGGGCAGCATCACCTCATCCCCCGTCACACTGAACACTGGTGCTCCACAGGGGTGTGTACTGAGCCCTCTCCTGTACTCACTCTACACCTACGACTGCACAGCCACTAACAGCTCCAACATCATTGTGAAGTTTGTGGACGACACTACAGTGGTGGGTCTTATCACCAACAGTGATGAGACGGCTTACAGGGAGGTGGTCAGCGCCCTGACCCACTGGTGTCAAGACAACCATCTCACCCTCAACGTCGCAAAGACAAAGGAGTTGATAGTGGACTTCCGGAGGTGCAGAGAAGTACACACCCCCATCACCATCAGCGGCGCTGCTGTGGAGAGAGTGAGCAGCTTCCGGTTCCTTGGTGTACATCTGGCTGAGGATCTTACGTGGTCAGTACACACAAACAAAACAGTGAAGAAGGCACAGCAGCGCCTCTTCTTTCTCAGGAGACTGAAAAGCGACCTTCTATCGCTGTGCCATTGAGAGCATCCTCACTGGATGCATCACCACCTGGTATGGCAACAGCACCGCCTACAACTGCAAAGCTCTCCAGCGAGTAGTGCGGTGCTCTGAACGGATAATTGGAGGTGAGCTTCCCTCCCTCCAAGACATCTACAGGAAGCGGTGCCTGAGGAAAGCGGGGAGGATCATCAAGGACTCCAGTCACCCCAGCATAAACTGTTCAGACTGCTTCCATCAGGAAGGAGGTTCTGCAGCATCCGGTCCCCTACCAGCAGACTGAGAGACAGCTTCTTCCACCAGGCCATCAGACTGCTGAACACGTCATAGACACCTCAGCTTCACTACTGGAACTTTAACATTATGCACTCCATACTGTACAGTAATGCCACTGTTTTGCACATGTCTCAACTCTGTATATTTTATATATTTTATTTATTGTTTACTCTATTTAATTTGTAAAATATGTGTACACACACACACACACACACACAGAAAAATATTTCGTATACACATCCAGAAATGCATATACTATTATATATTGTACATATATTTATTAGTTTCAGATGTAGCCATTCTTGTATTTTGCTTGTTTACATTATTGTATTTTGCACAACTCTGTTGCTTGTGAAGCTCGCACACAAGAATTTCACTCACATGTGCTGTACCAATGTACCTGCACATGTGATGTGACAATAAAAGTGATTTGATTTGATTTGATTTTGGTTATATGTAAGCATATAAACACTGCAGAGAGTACAAGTAACAGTAACAGTATTGTCGAAATTCATTTCACCGAAACAATAACGTGGCGCACTGTGTGACGTCAAAAAAGGCGCACACCTTTCAAAAATATCCACCCTGGCCAGAGTTTTTAAAAATCTCAGTTTTCAGTGACCAAAAACGGCATTTACGTGTGGGCCGTAAACCGATTCAAAACTCTATCCGGTTAGTCGTGACGCATGGACCCTGCTTCCGGTCAGTCCAGCTAACGTAAAGCTACAAACATCTCTACTGTTTAGGCTACGTCCACACGTACACGGGTATTTTTGAAAACAGAGATTTTCCGTTTTCGTTTTTTTAAAAAAAAAATCCCGTCCACACGTGCAGTTTTGAGAAAAATATCTCAGTCCACGTGTAACCCCCCCTCCAAACAAACAAAAACAAAGGCAAATGCTGTAAGGAGCACGCCAAAGCAACAGGTGGCGATATAATCCTAACCTTGCAGAAATGTTGGCCAATCCGAAGTCTTGAAGCCAGGGCGGGAAAGCATAAACAAAGACGGTGGAACTGAAAGAGTTAGTACAAAAAGAAAGAACAGTCATTGAAGGATTTGAACCAAAGGCAAAAAATAGTGTAACAATGGTTAAATGTTATTTTACAGTGACATGTTGGTTATCTCTGCACACTGTTGTTATTTCTTTAAGATACATGTTTGGTTGTGCTGCAGGAAAAAGGGAGTTAATGTGTGCAGGAAGGGGAGGGGGGTCCTTGTTGTTGTGTGACTGTGCGGGGCTGAAGTGAGGGGTTGTACGAGGGCACTCTTCCCGGAGTTAACGGCCCGTTTGCCTGTGTTACCGAATAAACGGACAAAATGAGATCCAACCGTCTGGTTCTTGCGAACGTTACACTGGTGTCAGAAGTGAAAACACCTAAAACACCCGACACCCTGTTGGTGGCAACGCTGACCGTCATGAGACCCGAGGATGTTGCCAGACAAGATTAAGAAGGAGACGGAGGAGAGGGAGGTTCATCCGCGCTCGCCTGCCCATAGAGTGAGGGAAACAGTGATGCGGCTGTCTGCTGAGCCTGGATTTTTTCGGGAACTTTTCGCACAGTCGCCGCGATTCCGGTGGGAGGGAGTCGACCTCGCTTGGCGCACCGTCACGTGATGTAAACAAGCATGGCGGCACCCAGCAAGCTGCGGCGAATATAAAAAACGCCTAAGTTCAGCGGCAAGACGCCATGGGATGTGTTTATTGCACAGTTTGAGCTGTTAGCTGTTGCAGCTGGCTGGTCTGAGGAACATAAAGCTCTCCAATTGGCTTTGTGCCTGTGTGAGGATGCAGCTGCATGCCTGCTGCTGCTGACCGAGGAGCAAAGGGGAGATTATAATGCTCTGGTTGGGACACTTCAGAGACGTTTTGGGCAGTATAACCAACCAGTGCTGCTGAGGTCAGAGTTCCACAACAGATGCAGATTGCCAGGGGAGCCCCTTCGCATTTTGGCCCATGAAGTCGAGTGTCTTTGCCGGAGGGCGTATGACAGCATGCCACCATCAGTGCAGGCGGAGTTAGCTTGGGACCACTTCCTGCAGGCCCTGAGCCCTAAAGAGCCCCGTATGCAAACTCAGCTTGCTCGACCGGCCACACTCAGTGCAGCCCTGGAGCTAGCGTTGGAGAGGGAGATGCTTGCAGTATCCTCTGGGGGCGCTGATGACACACATGTGGTGAGGGCTATGTCAGCACCTGTGGAGCAGATGGAGATGCCAGCGGGCCTGAGCAGTTTGGTTCAGACGGCTTCTCGGCATTCGCCTTCCCCTCGGGCTGGACCACGCCGCCGACCACAGAGCTGCTGGGGATGTGGACAAGTCGGACACCTCATCAGGCAGTGCCCCAAGCTT